AGGTGTAGAGGGGCACCTGGGTGGCTCAGTCAGTTAAGCGTCTGACTTTGGCTCAGGTCATGATCTCATGGTTCTTGGGTTCGAGCCCTGCGTTGCGTTCTGTGCTAACAGCTCAGAGCTTGGAGCCTGCTTCAGAATTTGTGTCTCCCTCTCTTTCTGCCCCTTCCCTCCCCTTCTCAAAAATAAATAAAACCTTTTTAAAAAAAAGTTGTAGAGAGCATGAAATAAGACACCCAAAGCGCTAAGCAGTAGCAGATGCTGCTCAATAAATGGGAGCTTACATGCCTAAGTCCCGAAGCTCAGGGCTCTAAAAACAAGTTGTAAGTATGAAAAGGGTAGGACCAGGAGAAGGTGGACAGAAGCAGCATTCCAGCCACCCTTTGGCAAATCCTGGAAGACAGCACCCCCTTCTGCACAGGAGAGGCCATGCATTCTAAACGGATGCAAAAGCACCGTCTTGAACCTAAGGACTTGGGTGTTTGTACCTCTGCTGTCTTTGATTATCTCAGCGACCCTGAGACACTCAGATCCCTTCTCTGAGCCTCAGTTTGCTGACCTGAAAAATGTGAGCAATACTGTTTTCCCTGCTTAAAGTAATTTTATGGCTTCTCCTTGACCTTCAAGACAAAGTCCAAACATCTCAATAAATTTGCAAAACCCTTTATGACCGGGCCCCTACTTATCTCTTCAATCATTCTCTCTTGACTCTTCCTCAAAATATCCTACAGCAAAATGACCTGCTTGCAGTCCCCCAAAGAGATCAAGCTCCTGCTTACTTCCAAGACTTGACCTGTTAGTTTCTGTGCCTGGAATGTTTGTTCTTCACTCATCTTTGCTGGCTACCTCCTTCAGAAATCAACATCCCCTGTGAAGTGTTTAGATGCCCCACTGAACCCTGTGTTGATAAGGCCTTCAAAGCACTGATCATGGTGTTATAATTGCTTCTCTCCAGAAGATTGCAAATTCCATGAGGACAGGGGTTTCCCAGGGCCTACGTGGCACTATGCCTGACACACTGAGAAGTCACTAAAATGTTTGGAAATCAATAAATTAGTGAACAAAGAAAGGGACTCCTCATAGTGCTCTGTAAATAGGAGAGAAGGCAGACATCAATGGGGCTCCTAAGAGGTTGAGCCAGAAAACATACCTGTAGTTCTGGGAGCCCCACAGCCTCAGCTTTGACCCCTTTGAGCATCTGGCTTCCTGGGCACTGGCTCCAGGCTTTTACCACCTATGGAGAGAGGGTTTAAGGTAGGCTCCAACCGCTACTCTCTTCGGCACCTCCAGGCCTCACCTTGCTTACCCGCAACTCTCGCAGTGCCCTGCCCAGCTGGCTGAGCCCACTTTCTGTGAGGGTGTCCCCAAGGAGGCCTGAACGCAGGCTCTTCAGGTTTGCCCGGCGGGCACGTGCCTCTTCTACTGCATCCCACTGGGTGGGCCTCACCTGTTTCACCTGCATCCTCCTTCCCGAGGCCCCCAACAGAGCAGCTCTGAGTAAGCTCAGGGAGCCACCTAATAAGGGGAGACTCGGAGTGAATCACTCCTTCTGGACTCCAAAGCACACTGCCTGTAATACTTGTAATTTTTATTAATACTACTTACAAAAAATAGCTAACACCTATCAGGCTTTTACATGGGCTTGGCACTATGCTAAGAGTTTTTGTGGATCACCTCTTTTTATCCACACAACACTCCAATGAAGCAGCAACTCTAATTTTTTCTGCCTACCCCCACATTTTCCAGATGAACCAAATGAAGCTTAGAGAGGTCAAGCAACTCCCTGGTGAGTGGCAGAGCTAAAACTTAAGCCCAATTCTGTCTGACATTAAAGCCTGTGCCTTTAATCAGGATACCAAACTGCCTATGGATAAACATACTTTTGTCCTTCACTGCTTTATCCTTAAGGGCATGAACTGGCCTAATTTTTCTTCCTTACTCCACAGGGCCTGGCACAGTGTGTGGTCTGGGACTATGTTAGCCAAATTAATGTGTGCTTACTAATTTTGGATACAGAGAGCCAGACTTTTTCTTTCTTTTCACTTTTGTAGAAAATTTCAAACATGTACAAAGTATAGGAAATTCAATCTACTTATCACCCAGCTTCAATAATTGTCAACTCACAGCCATTCTTGTTTGATCTATACCCTCCACTTGACCTCCCCTAAGTCTCTGACATCATATCATTTCAGAGAGGCCTGATTTTTAATGAGTGTATGAAAATAGACAAGTTCTCTCCCTTCTCTGATCCTCCCTTTCCTCATTTATAAATTAGGCCTCCCTCCCTAAGTTAGATGTGTCTCATGGGGTTGTGGTAAGAATAAAATGTATTAGTGTGAAAATTCTTGGTTAACTGTTGAAAGCCTCTGAAGGGCGAGGGGTTGCTTTTACTATCAGCCCTGCCTTTCCACACTTTGGCAACCTAGCCATACTGGGACCTTTCTGAATCTTGACCCTCCCAGAGATGAGGCTATCTCTGGACTGGGGTTGGGGCTGCAGCTGTTTTGGTGAGAGGGGTGGTCAGGCATAAGTTAGATGTCAGAGCTTCCCAAAGAACCCCACACCCTTCCCCAGGCCACCTTGAGGGTCCAGGCGAAGAAGAAGACCAGTGTAGTTGTTTCCTTCCAGGAGCCATGACACGATCCAGGGCAGAGAGCCCTCTACCTCCTCACCAATAACCTTACCAGCCAACACCTGCAGCAGGGGGCAATCTCTGCCAGAAGGAGAGAGGAAGAAAAGAGGTGTCCACTGGTGAATGGGGAAAGAAATTGACCCAAATTACATCTGATGGAAAGGCTGACTATTTCCAGAACTTTGGTGCACCACCAGGCAGATTTGCAACCTTGCATAGACCCTTTTTAAAATTTTATTATTTAATTACACAAATAATATATTCTCATAGTGCAAAATTTAATTTGTCTATCTGATAAGGGACTTGTATCCAGAACATACACTTATGTATGTATGTATGTATTTATGCTATTTTTATTTGTTTATTTTTATTTTTTAGAGAGAGAGAGAGGGCATGAGATTGAGGGGCAGAGAGAGGGAGAGAGAGAGAATCCCATGCAGGCTCTGCACTGTGCAGAGCCTGAAGCAGGGCTTGAGCTCACCTGGTAAGGGACTCAAACTCATGAACTGTGAGAACCAACTGAGCCACCCGGGCGCCCCTATCCAGAATATTTAAAGAGCTCTTACATCTCAGTGATAGAAGACTAATCACCCAATTTATTTTTTATTTATTTATTTTTTTAAGTAGGCAACACATCCAATGTGGGGCTTGAACTCACGATCCTGAGATCAAGAGTCATATGCCCTGGGGTACCAGGGTGGCTCAGTTGGTTAAGCATCCGACTTCAGCTCAAGTCATGATCTCATGGTTTGTGAGTTTGAGCCCCGCGTCAGGGTTTGTGCTGACAGCTCAGAGCCTGGAGCCTGCTTCAGATTCTGTGTCTCCCTCTCCTCCTCCTGCTCTGTCTCTCAAAAATAAATAAATGTTAAAAAAATTTTTTTCTTTAAGAGTCACATGCCCTGCCAACTGAGCCAGCCACGTGCCCCTAATCACCCAATTTAAAATGGCAAAGCAAAGTGACATCCACAAAAATGGCAGAGTATGGAAGTCTGGGGATCTGTCCTTTTTCAGCAACATGTGGAAAAAATGGTCAGGATCAACCTTACAGGAACTCTGGGGGACAGTGAAAGGTTTACTACAACCAAGTGAATGCTTACCCAGGAGAAAGCAACTTAAATATGTTGAGATCTTTGTGGTGTTTTAATTTAACCTAGCCCCAACCTCCTCCCCAGCACAGAGGTTGTCTTGAAGACAACAGTCCATGTTTCTGGTGGTGGGGTGCTTGGCTCTGGAGGGAGCAGAGCAGATTTTGTTCCCAAGGAACTGTGTTTGTTGTTTTCACTGTCTAGGGTTTCCCCCAGAGGACTGACAAAAAGGGCTTCCTTTTGTTTCCCTTACCTTGGAACTCTCTCAGGGCAGAGCAGCTATCCTAGATGATAGTCCCTCAAAACATTGAAAAGATGAAAGAACAAGCAAAAATAACAGTTGGGGCAAACAACAGATGCATGGAAAGACTGGGAAGAAAAGTTGGGGAGTCAGATTGCATTGCGGGGGGGTGGGGGGAGGGGGGATAAGGAAAATTCCCCCATGCACCAAGGAATCTAGAAAGCCACACACATGCCCAGAGCAGGATGCAGGCTTAGAAAAGACCTGAGAAGATGGCAAGTTTTCATCTCTGTTTTTTTAAGCTCATTGTAAGCAGAAAGTAAGGCTAAGGCAGAGATGTAAGTGGAATGGTGAGAAGCATAGAAGGACTGACCCAACACAGAGCGAATCTATGGAAAGCTGGAGATTTTTTAATTTTTTTTTTCTTTCTGTTTTTATTCCTTTAATAAAAAATGTTTTTGTCCCAGTAGAGTAAGGAATTCTATGTGAGGTCACTAGCTAACCACTGAGATGACAGAATGGAGACTTCAGTGGCAACAAAGAATCCAGCCTTTGCAAAAATTGTTTGGAAAGTAACTAAGCAAACAGTTGCAGCCCACAGCAAGCAACAATGCAAACCCTAGAGGGGATGGGGAATCTCTTTTTCAGAGTTCCCCCATTATCATATCCAAAATGTCAGAGCCTAAGGAAAAGAAATGGAGATGTAAGAGACCAACATAATGAAGAATATAATCTTTACAAAAATAAAAATTCTCAAATTGGGCAGTTTCCAACCAAAAAAATATCTGGCATGCAAATAAAGATGCATGGCCCACCCACAGGGGAAAAAAAAATTAATAGAAACTGTCCTTGAGGAAGCACAGACATTGGATTCCCTAAAGACTTTAATCCAACTATCTTAAATATGCTCAGAAAAGTAAAGGAAATCAAGAAAATGATGTCTCAATGAATAAAAAATACGAATAGAAGCACAGAAATTATAAAAAGGAACCAAAAAGAGGGGTGTCTGGCTGGCTTAGTAAGTGGAGCATGCGACTCTTGATCTTGGGGTTGTGAGTTTGTGCCCCACACTGGGTGTAGAGCTTACTTTAAAATAAAAATAAAATAAAATAAAATAAAATAAAATAAAA